CTTGTTCTTTCAAAAGGTATGACAAATACAGTGTTAAAAATTCAAGGATTTTAATGTGTTAAAATGGGCAAGTATTGCCTTCCTTTATAGATGGTTAAACAGAGGGCTGGAACCTCTTCTCCAAGGTCACATAGTCAGGGGCATTGTTAAGACTATCGCCAGATAGACTCAACCAAACCACCTCTCTTCAGTTTTGGATCCATGTTTGGTAGCTGCCAGAGGCAAACAGTGCGTGAGTGTGTGCTTTGCCACCTACAATGCCTTTCGTTCAGTTTTTTTCTCCCTGGTATGACATTAATTGCTCCTGAACTCCTAATGAATGCTGCAATTCATAAATGCAGAAACGTATCTTTTGAGTTTCCTTTCTGTCCCTTTATGCATCCACTCCACACCATGTTTGCGTGTGTTTACTGTGAGAAACCACATAGGACTGGTAAAAGACATGGCAGTAAATAGTTATAGAAACAGATTTATTAATGATCAGCTACTTTTATGGCCTCTTTTGATTTTGAGAGTTGTGCCTTTTCTGAGCAAAGGACCAGGGACTCCCAAGTTCTAATCCCAGGTGTAACACTGCCTCCCTCCCAGCCTTGGATAAATTGCAGAAGGCCAAATTTATAATGGTGGCAAGGCATTCTGTACTAAGCAGCTCCCTTGTGACATTTAGGGGCTGGACTTTCAAGAGAGAGCAGCACCCAAAATGCTAAACTCTTAATAGTCTTGTACTGAAGAGGGGGATGACCTCTCTTAGAAATCTGACCTTGACAGCAGGTGCTGAGCTGTCTGGACAATTCCTATTTTAACTTTTCCATGGCTTAGTTTACCCACTTGTGAAAGCGGTGTTGATGCAACCTGACTCTTACTCTGCATATTTGTCTTTGGACAACAGCTTTATGATAGAAAGCGTTAAGTACATGTTAAATATTATGTTAGGTTTCCTTTCTTCAGCTGTTAATTTATGCAATGCTTATGACGGTTGGTGGTGTGTGCATGTTGGAGGGACTGGAGAGGTAAACTTTTCTCCTCAACACCCTTAGTGTGATTTCCCCACTTTGTTTAAAATCACCAGGCATAGCCTTTCTATTACTTGCTAAGATAAATTTACAAGTTCTAGTTTTTTAACAATTTAGTGTTTGAGCCAATATTAAAATCAAATGAAAACCCACTTCTCATTTGGTATGTGTTGAATGACTTTTGCAGCCCTGTTTGTCCTGCTATTCGGGGGGGGGGGGGGGGGGGGGGGGGGGGGGGGG